ATCCTAAACTTCTGCATTGTTTAGTTTTTCTTTTATGTCGTTGCAAACAGGTGGTATCGTTCTTTTGGACACTAGTTTATTTTGTTATTGTATTCGTCGACAACAACCGGTAATATTTTAAGCCATTTTTGAGATTTCAATTCCGTGAATTTCTTGAATAATTTGCTTTTAAGAGTCCTGTTGAATCTTTCTATCACTACGGCTTTACCTTCGTTATGCGTGCTGTAAATTTCAAACCCCAGAGATTTCACATTTCTGTTGTAGAATTCGCTTCCTTTATCAACCCACAACTTTAGGGGTCGTCTGTCGGATTGTTTCATTATGGTTTCGAATGCTTGTTTGACAGTCAGACCCGATTTGTTTTTCAAGGGAAAGACCCAAGCGTATCTCGTGTATAAGTCGATCACCGTCAAACAATACTTGTACCCTCTCTCTACTGGCATGTTGATTAAATCGGCTGACCAAATTTCATCTTTATCAAAAACTTTGACTTTGAGGTAATGTTTGTTTTTTCGAAATTCTTTGTGAATCTCGTCTGCTATGCCCATACCCAATTTCAATTTTGCCTTCAAGAGTTTTATGATAAGAGCCCTCTGTAATTTCTCTTTGAAAGTGGGATTGGGAATATTTTCGAGTTCGTCTATCATTTGTTTGTCTGCTTGGTGTCTGAATGTTATGTCTTTGTTTCTGTACAGTATGTCGTGTTTGAGTGCTGCTGCGTCAACTCTATTAACGGGTTCTTCCCCTGGTTTGGGATTATCATTTTCGTCTAAACACAGATCTAATCTCGTGCCTGGACCTGTATAATTGTGGCCTGGGAGATGTTTTTCTCCGGGATATTTTGACCATGGGAATCCAGGAAGAGAACCCAATGACTTTTGACCGTACCACCCTTTTTATTTTGTTGGCGTTCCAGTGGAGGGGGCAGCATCTATTACTGTCATCCATCAACCACACAACGTGCGCACCATAGCTTATATAAATAGATATAAATCTGGAAATCAAAGATGGTAAAAATAGGTTTATAGATTTTGGAAACGAGAAAATTGTTATTCAACTTCATTTTAAACAAAAGAACTAACTCTTCATTCTCTTCTTGAATAGTAAGGTAATAGAAATCATCAAATTCGTAGTTGTCATCCATGTTTAATTCTTTTCCATCGTTGTAAGGATACATAATTCTTTCATCGTCCGGTGCTTTTGCGTGAATAGAATTATTCATTATTTTTTTATTGTGAGATAATACGAATGAACCCAAATGACTAGGTGTTAGTAGTGTAGATTTAGGAGGTAAACAGTCAAATTATTTTTCTTCTTCATTTATCTCAACGATATATTGAGTCTCATTTACTTTAGGATAGCTTTTGACATGTGAATCTAAGTTGGTTTTTAAAGTTGCTTCACTCCATAGATGTCTCGATGTAGTTATATCCTTCTGAATAGATTTACCATACAAGGAATTACCTAATAATTTCATGCAATTACTAGCCACAACATTACCTTCTCGTTTATATTTATGTCTTAGATCTCTCATAATTAAAATATAATCTCTATATGGTGGAGTTTTAAAACTTTCTTCATATACTATACCATCTAATATTCTAATAATTCGTCCACCAGCTTTAACTATTTCTTGAATATCGAAAACATCTGAACAGAAACCATTTCTAAACCTGATTTTAGTACCAGTTTCCCTATTACCTTCTTTGTTCGTAAAAGTAATTTTATCTTTAGCTGGTATGGGTTGGAAGAACATGTTAGTAGGATATTCAAACTAGACTTTTAAGATAGCCGTTCTAAGTCTGAATTTCTCCTTAAAGAGCTTAACAAATTTCTTTATTTTCTTCTGGTAGAAACGGTATTCCACTTTCCGCTTTAGGATATTCGCTGTCTAAATCTGACATGGCGGAAGCGTCGAACGCCATTAGTTTAGTACATTTTATTTTTTTAAGTTTTGAATTAACTTCCGTTTTGTATTTTTTACTTTTACTATATTTTTTAAATAAATCAATTATATTATCACTTCGTGTTTCACTTTGTGAAATAAATTCCTTTAATACATTACAAATTTCATCCATTTTAACAAAAATTTTGTTCGTTTCAAATGATTTTCTGTTAGCAGAAACTCTTCCTCCTTTAATGGATTGTCTGATAAAATATCTTATAAAAGGGAATGTATGTGAGTAAACTTTTTCTATATTTTCTTTTTCAGTGTGTTTTGGAACCATTTTAGTAGTAGTTTCATACCATTCTTCTTCAACCATTTCTTTATGGTAATGATATAAATAATACCAACCCTTTAAAGATAAAGAAGGAGCCGTTAGATTATTGGAAATATTCTGTAATACAACTTCTTTCATAACTTTGTTATATTTTATCAAACAAGCTCCAAGACATAACGTATCTCTTGTAGCATAAGGTTCCCATTCGTGTCTTAAAGATTCCCAATTATCTTCGGTGTATTTTGCAATATTGTTATCAGTGATCTTTCTCAAATTCATTGGTAGATTAGATAAATTAACCCATGCCGCCAAACTAGATTTTTCATGTTGATAGGAACATATGAAATTAATATTTTGCAGATAATTAGAGTTGCCAATTATTTGTTTTTGTCTTTTCCATTTTTTCTGTAAATATTCATCGGTGAATGAATTAGTTAAAGGTAGAGGTGGAATGCCTCTAGCTGTTACTAGTGGACATGGCGATTCTCTTTCGCTATAGCTTTCGCAATCCCATGCGTATAAGTAATCATCGTGAATTGTTGGAAAAACATTTAGTTTCAGAGGTGAAACTTGTGTTACTGCATTATCATCTCTAAAAGTTCTCCATACATTTTCATCGTAATTATGTTCTAATTCTTTAATGCCTAAGGTTTTGTTATTTCTTCTAATGAGTAAAATACTTTCTTTGGTTGAAAATGTCTATTTTTGGGCATATAAATTTGAAAATAAATATTAAATTTCTTATTGAATTCACAGATTCTAGCAGTTGTCATAACTCCTTTTCTATTTGATTTTGAAAAACTGCTGATGAAATCTTGAAATTCATTTGTTAAATCTTTGTTCAAAACACGATTTTCGCACTTTATAAAGCAAAGTCCATCGCTTGGTATGTAACAATTTATTACGGCATATTCATTTATGAGTAGGGTGGTACAACTACCCTTTTTTGATCTTTTTATTTCTTTGAAATTGTCTTTACGTAAAATGATATTTCCTGTGAAATACCAATCAGAAGCATCCGATTTTACATCCACTGTTGCGAAGAAATTTTGCGAAGAAGTTTTGGCATTAAAGCCTACAAATTCCATGTTTTGTTTGTGTCCTCCTAGTCCTAACTAGGAATTTTTCACTTTTATTGATGATATTTCTCCATCAAATTTATCTAAAATTTCATTGAATTTTTCTAATTCTTCAATGGTTATGTTCTTATCTTCTCTCGATCTTTCGAAAAATATGAATAATTTATTAAGATATGTATTTAAAATTTCTGTTTTCTTTTTATAATGAGATTTCTGTTTTGATGTAAAACCTAAAGTAATCAATCAACAAGATGAAGTTTGAACGGCAGTGAACGCAGCTTATACAGTTGGGAAAATTATTGGAAGCATTAATCCACTGGTTACGGCTGTTGCCACTGTTACTCCTACTGTTAGAATTATGCTTAATGTTTTGAAAACAGTATCAATTCTACTCCACGTTTTTCTGCATTTGTTGAAATGTTTTAGTTTTTCTTTTAGTTCATTTTGTTTTTCTATCATGTAGTTTTGTCTGCTTTCTAGTTCCATTTTTTAGGTAATTAAATTAAATGAATTTCTGATAAAGCAAAAGATGGAAAGTGTTTTATATGTACAATAGCTTGCCCAGTAAGATGTCCACCAGGTAGTATTTTTTCATTATCTGTTATAATTATTTCATTTTTAAAAATAAAAACATCTATAGTTACAAACGATATTTGTTCTTTCAAATCATTAATCTTATTCAGATGAACTGAAAATTTTGATTTTTCGATATTGATTGTTATCATACATCTACAGGTATATATACCTCCAACTTCTAATCTACCATTACGTTCAATTATTGATGAAAATATTATAAATTCTTTATCTTGTTGACTTTTATGAATATCGATTGAGGTAAATAAATCAGTTGAAGAGGAATGTTCGAGTGAAAAACTATTATTAACAAAATATAGTTTTACATATTCAAAGTCTTGCTTGTAAAAACTCATAACTATTTCTTCTTCTTTTTGTGGTTCTGGATTTCTAATAATATTCATTGACTTTCCGTTTCCAATATCATACCAAATTCACCAAATAGAAGAGTATAATTTTTTTCTTTATCTGGTATGATTAACATTCTAAACCTATCTATATATTTTCCACTCGTTTTAATTTCATACAAGTAATCAGTCTTGTTGTTTTCATCGTTAATTCTAAATTCTTTAGTTTCTACAATTTCTGTACCTTTGATAAACTTTACGAGCGTTGAATTTATTAGATGATCGAAATCCTTGTCCGAAGAATATTGAATCAACTTTTACCTGCATAGGAAAAATAATTTCAATTTGAAGTTTTTCTAAGAAAAAAAAATATGTTGGGTGTTCACCATCAAACATTTTATAGGGATAATCATTTGGTATATATACTCTTATATTTGCTGTAAATCCATATTTTTTATATTCATACTCTTTTGATTTATCTATTTTAGTAGTAATAGAAGCAACTTTTTCAATATTAGAAGATCTTCATAACTCAAATTTTCAAATGGAAGATTGAAATAATATGATTTATTTTCTTCTTTGAGATTCTTTTCTAATGCGACTATATTTTTTTCCTGTTTTAAAACTTCATTATTAATAGTGGTTATCTGTTGTTGAATAACACTATCATCAATATTTTGTATTTGTTCTTGAATCTAGGTTTTGATTTCGCTATCATCAATGTTCTGTATTTGTTGTTGAATATAGGCTTTGATTTCGCTATCATCTATGTTTTGTATTTGTTGTTTAATATTTCTTAGTTCTTTTTGTAATTCACTTTTAAGTTTAATTTCCAGAGCATTTAATTCCTGTTGAAATGTATCATCATTTTCATCTAATTTTTGTTTTGCAATCTTATCATCTAATTTAGATATTAATGAAATTAAATTTTGTAACTCAGTTTTGTTCACTACGTTGACCAATTGTTTTTGAATAAAACTTATTAAACCTGCTGTAGTTTAGTTTCATTAATAAAATTTTTATTATTTAGTTGGCGTTTGAAGAATCTTTTCACATTACTTATTTTATCTTCTAAATGGTTATTTACTTCCATTGAATTTATTTGATCCCGTAAATATTTCTTGTGAACAGTGTCATTATCATTTTCAGGAGACTTTAAATTAGTTACTTTGAAATTGTTCATATCTAAATCACCTTGCAGAGTGTCTCCGATTTGATCCACAAAGTAAGGTTTTGCTTTATTTATCCATGCTGTAGTGTTAGGTTTTTTGGTTTCTAAAGATAAAGAACCTAATCCAAACTTGTTCGCCATTTCTATTAAGTTAAATTTATTATAATTTCTTCAAACTGTTGTTTTCCTAAACTCAACTGATATAAAACCCAAAGTGAAAGCTGTCCACAAAACTTTTGTCCAGGTAATTGAATATATCTGTTCAGTGGGTTCTAATCCAAAAGAATCAAAGAAATATAAGTTATTTGGAGAGTCTTTGTACAAAGCAGATTGATGAACTCCTTTTTGATCGGAAGTATGTATATTTGTTATAGCATAAAATTTACCTTTCTTATATTTGAGATCATTTTATTTCAAGTTGAAAGTTTGTGGTCGTATCAGTTCCATATTTATCGAGAAAGATATTCATTTTAGAAAAGTCAGTTTTTTTAAGTTCATATGTTGAATGTGATGTGGTGTTTATTTTATCAACGATGAATATTTCGTTTGTCCAGTATCAAACGTAACCTTTTTCGAATTTACTTTTATATTTGAAAATACGAACGCGATCTCCAAATTTAAATTTGGGTTTAATATTTAAATTATTTATTTCATTTTCGAAATTATTAAGGACAGAAGAAAACTTTATAATATCTGGATTGGAGAAACACCGATGGAAGAATGAATTTTATTATTATATTCCGATACTACAGTGGGTAAAATCTCTAACCCTTTTTGAGACCTTTGTTCTGTGAATTTTTTAAACAGTTTTGATTTAAGGCTCCTGTTAAATCTTTCTACTACTACTGCTTTTCCCTCGTTATGAGTACTTTAAATTTCAAAGCCAAGTGATTTCATATTTTTATTATAAAATTAGCTTCCTTTATCTACCCATAACTTTTGAGGTTTTCTATGTTTCATAATCGTTTCGAAAGCATGTTTGACTGATAATCCTGTTTTGTTTTTTAAAGGAATAAACCAAGCATATCTTGTATACAAATCTATAACTGTTAATCAATATTTATATCATCTTTCGACCGGCATATTAATTAAATCTGCTGACCATATTTCATCTTTTTCAAATACTTTAACTTTTAAAAAGTTTTTAGTTTTTCTAAATTCTTTATGAATTTCATCTGCTAATCCCATACCCAATTTCATCTTTGCTTTTAACAGTTTTATGATCAGAGCCCTTTCGTTCTCTCTTTGAAAGTTGGATTTGGAATATTTTCAAGTTCGATTATCATTTATCTGCCTGCTTCGTGTCTGAATTTTATGTCTTTATTTCTGTATAGTATGTCGTGTTGAAGCGCAGCGGCATCAACTCTATTGACTGGTTCTTCACCCGCTTCCGCGATAGATTCTTTAGCTTTAGCTTCCGAGGAAATGAGGGATTTGGTGTTTGAAACAAAGCTAGCTACTTTTGGAATTATTGTTTTACCTAGAGAAAATATTGATGAAAAGATACCGTCGCCCGAATAATCTTCGAATTTGTGTTGTTCGTGTTTTAGAATTAATCTCATCCTATTTTTAAATGAGTTAATTTAACGAAGAAATTGTGGTCTGTTTTTCCAAAAAAAACAAGAGTTATCTTTCTTACAGAAGTTTCTAGATTAAAACAAAAAATAACATTATTAAAAAAGAGGCTATAAAAAGAGGCTATTAAAAAAACCGGATGTGTTTAGCGAAACAAGGAAGTTAATTTGTTAAGGGTATTTTTAATATGCCTTTTTCGTTAAATATTCTAATCTAAAGTGAAGAAGGGAATATATAGGATTCTGATTAAGTTTTTTGATAGTTGGGACAGAAGGATGTGTCTTTTTTTAAATTTGTGTGTTTATTTTGCGATGATTTACGAGTGTTTTTTTGTGTTATGACCTATATATTTCCTTGTGTGGATTTTATTCATATACTACAATTATGGAGTTAATTTTAAACAGATTAAACAAATTCATATGTGATATGCATGTTTTTAAAAAATTAAACTTAAATGAGTTAATTTAATGATGAAATGTAATGTGAATAGGTCTTTTTTGGGGTGGGGATTGATGGAATGTAGGGTGTTTGGGTCTTTTTTGGGGTGGGAATTGATGGAATGTTGGGGGTTTAGGTCTTTTTGGGGGGTAGGAATTTATGGAATGTAGGAATTTATGGAATGTAGGGTGTTTAGGTCTTTTTTTTTGGGGTGGGAATTTATGGAATGTAGGGTCTTTTTGGGGGTAGGAATTTATGGAATGTAGGGTGTGTAGGTCTTCTTTGGGACCTTTCAATATGTTCGCACTCTTCCCATGGAATGAAATGGGGAATCCCCGTGCGAACATATTGAAGGTCTTATACTACTCTACTACCCTTTATCGTTCATCACTAATGTCTAGGCCTATTTCAAATGCATTCGGATTTTTGGAAATCGTCTAAATTTCATAAGACCAGGTCTTTTTTATGTGGTTCATAAACATTACAACGTGTCCTTGAGCTCTAAATTGACCATTACCCTAGAAATCCTACCTAGTTGGGTGGTAAGTGACAAGTTAACTTGCGAATATCGCAACTTAGGTAATTGTTGGTAGTCGTAATAGTTGGTAGTTGGATTAGTTCAAATTGTGTGTTGTTGGTTTGGTTGTTGATAAAAACTTTCGTTTTATAGTTTTTAACCATTGCCTAAAATTATCAAAATGTTTGCTGGATAATGCTGTATTCAAACAGACTCTTTTAATTGAACGCGTTTTCAAGAACAAGGGCAATAACTCATATTAATTATTTTTCGATTATTCTGATTTTCAATAACGTTCATCCTTTGGTGATTGCTAACACTCATACTTAGTTTCATCGAAATCCGTCAAGATTTATGTCTTCTGGAAATTTTACGAGCGTTTTAAGAAGAAGGGCAATAAGTCTATTTTTCTGATTTTCAATAGGGTTCATCTTTGGGTGATTACAAACAACCATACCAAGTGTCATCGAAATCAATCAAGAATTGTGCCTTGTAGAGTGTTTACGAGCAATTTTGGACGGATGGATAGGGTGACGACAATATACGCCCCCCATTTCATGTGAGCGTATAAAAATGTGATGTTGTCATCGCGGTTATGTTCAGAGTCAGCTTGGCGGAAACTGTCGGAAACAGAAGTCAGGACGATAGCGACTATTACAACAGGTAAATTACCTGTATTCCATGTCAAAGATACAGGTCGTGGATTTCAAGTTTGACTTTGTGAATACTTTTGGCAACGATCCCCCTCCATAGTGGACCACTTTTTAATACGATCATTACAGTTCTATGATACGATAGAACGAAGCATCTGCCTCTATTCCGGCCTCTGATATTCCAATAGTAAAGTTGTCGGCTGGTAACTGTCAAAATTGAATCACTTCTATGAAATTTAGTCTCGATATTCATGTCACCTACAAACCTCACGTGGCTCTGCATTTGTTTTTTTTTAAGCCCGGAAGCGTTTTTTCTTGACATTTCCCGGCAAATTTAAGGATTTTTTATATAGTGTGTGGGAGATCCCACCCTTTGAAGATTTTTAGAATCGGATTCCCAAAAACGCGAATTCCTGACATTCCCTATTAGTTTAAGAAAGCTGGAACAAAAGCTGAGGGTGGTAAAAAAGACCTTAGGGTGGTTAACAAGAATTGTCGGTGGAACACAAGAATTGTGAGTGGTAAACAAATATTGGGGTGGTATACAAGATGTGAGGGTGGTGAACAAGAGCTGGAAGTGGTAAACAAGAACTGCGGGTGGTGAACAGAAACTGCGGGTGGTAAACTAGACCTACGAGTGGTAAACAAAGACCGAGGGTGGTAAACAAGAGCTGAAGGCAGTAAAGGTTTTTGGGTAGTAAACGGGGCTGGGTTAATCAATAACATCTAGGGTGGTAAACAAGGGCCGAGGGTGGTTAACAGCAACAAGAGCATCGGCTGGTGAACAAAAGTTGAGGTTGGCAAACAAGAATTGCGAGTGGTAAACAAGTATTGGGGGTGATAAACAAGAGCTGGGGGTGGTCAACAAGAGCTGAAAGTGGTAAACAAGATCTGCAGGTGGTAAACAGGAACGAGGGTGGTGAACAAGAGCTGAGGGTGGTAAACAAATGTAAGTTGGTAAACAAGAATTGTGACTGTTAAACTAGACCTACGGGTGGTAAACAACAGCTAGGGTGGTAAAAATAACCCAGGGTGGTGAACAATAGCTGAGGATGGTAAACAACAACTAAGTATGTGAACAAGAGCTTAGGGTGGCAAACCAGAGCTTAGGGTGTCAAACAAGAATTGTGGGTGTTACACAGGTATTGTGGGTGGCAAACAAGACCCGGGGGTTGGTAAACAACAGCTAGGTTAATGAAAAACAACTAGGTTGGTTGGAACTGTGGGTGATATATAACTGATGGTGTTGAACGATAGCTAGGGTGGTAAACAAGAGCTGAGGGTGTTAGGGTGGTAAACATCAACTAGGTAGGTGAACAAGAGCTGTGGGTGGTGAACAGGAGCTGAGGGTGCTGAACAACAGCTAGGATGGTGAACAAGAGTTGAGGGTGGTAAACAACAACTAGGTAGGTGAGCAAAAGCTTAAGGTGGATAACAATTGTAGGTGTTACACAAGTATTGTAGTGGCACCCAAGACCTGGGTGTGTTGAACAAGTTAATTGTTAATGAACAACATCTAGGGTAACTAAGAGTTAAACAAAAACAGAGGGTGGTAAACAACAACTAGGTAGGTGAACAAGAGTTTAGGGTGGCAAAAAGAATTGTCGGTGGTAAACTAGAGTTGAGGGAGGCTAACAAGAACCGAGGGTAGGTGAACAAGAGCTGAATGCAGTAAACAAGATTTGGGGTGGTAAACAGGAGCTGGGTTAATGAACATCAACTAGGGTGGTAACCAAGAGTTGAGAGTGGTAAACAAGTATTGTGAGTGGTAAACAAGTATTGAGGGTGGTGAACAACAGCTGGGGTGGGAAACAACAGCTAGGTTAATGAAAAACAACTAGGGTGGTAACAAAGAGTTGTGGGTGGTAAACAAGAACTAAAGGTGGTATACAAGAACTGATGGCGGTGAACAACAGCTAGGGTGGTGAACAAGAGCTGAGGGTGGTAACCAAGAACACAGGGTTATTATCACCCGTACACATTACTTACCACCCGTCAGTATGGTTTATTACCATAAGCCTTATTATCACCCGTACACATTACATACCACCCGTCAGTATTGTGTATTATCGTACGCCTTATTACCATCCTTACACATTACTGACCATCCGTCAGTATGGTTTATTATCGTACGCCTTATTACCATCCGTCAGTATTGTGTATTATCGTACGCCTTATTATCAACCGTACACATTACTTACCACCCGTCAGTATTGTGTATTATCGTACGCCTTATTACAACCCTTACGCATTACTTACCACCCGTCAGTATGGTTTATTATAGTACGCCTTATTATCACCCGTACACATTACTTACCGCCCGTCAGTATTGTGTATTATCGTACACCTTATTACAACCCTTACGCATTACTTACCACCCGTCAGTATGGTTTATTATAGTACGCCTTATTATCACCCGTACACATTACTTACCGCCCGTCAGTATTGTGTATTATCGTACGCCTTATTACCACCCTTACGCATTACTTACCACCCATCATTATGGTTTATTATAGTACGCCTTATTATCACCTGTACACATTACTTACCACCCGTCAGTATTGTGTATTATCGTACGCCTTATTACCACCCTTACACATTACTTACCACCCGTCAATATTGTGTACTACTGTACGCCTAATTACCCCCCTTACACATTACTTACCACCAGTCAGTATTGTGTATTACCGTACGCCTTATTACTACCCGTACACATTACTTACCACCCACAGTATCGTACGCCTTATCATACCTTAAACCTTATTACTTCGAATACATATTTCCACCCACCCCAATGCAGTGTATTTACCACCCACATACATTACTTACACATTCGCGATGGCTCCAACCATCTTTGGATTTTTCGACTCGATTTTCCCTTGTCGGTGTTTGGGATCGGAAGGGCTTACTTGGAAAATGCGTCTAGGATAAATGTGACACAATTTGGACATGCGCCTGCTATGTCTTATTTTTTACTATTTACACATCTTCATCAACCTTTTTTTTTACTTACGTAAAGATCCCTCGACAGTTGGAAATCGAAAATAAGAGTAGGCTAATGTCGCTGTCCTGACAAAATTTCCCTCATTGCACACTGCATGGCGTTTGCCCACATCTAGTCAAAGTCATCCTAGTCAATCATATGCCAGCAATCAGGCGTTACCAAACAGTCATAGAATGAGTTATTGTTAAAGTTAAAGTCTAATTAAAAATTTTATTATTGTCTTTTTAGTCAATCATCACATCATCATCCGTATCATTAGTTCTTAGATATGTATTATTCCTAATATTATAAACTTCCATAAACCAATTACTACTGACCACTGTACTGTACTGTGATTATTATAACTGTTAATAAACCTCCTTCAACATTGATGTATTGACAAAGCCGAAATCTGTGTAAAAGTACAAAACATAATCCCAGAGGCTATACTATCGAAAAAAGGAAGAATGGAAAAATATTTAGTATGAGTTATTGTCCTTGTTCTTGAAAACGCGTTCAATTTCTAGCTCGTAAACACTCTAGAAGTAGATTTTGGCGTGATAAAACATTTTTTGTTTTGATTTTTCGATAGAGTTCATCCATGGGTGATAACAAACACTTACACAAAACATCTTCGTCAAAATCCATCAAAAAATTGTGCCCTCAAGAGTGTTTACGAGCTAAAATTTGAACAAGGGCAAAAACTCGTACTCAACATTCTTCATTATCGCCCTAAAGAGTTGAAAAGAAGTGTATGACTGAAGGTTGAATATTTCATACTTGTGATTGTTACTGCACTGCTAAATATTTTTATGCAAAATCAAAGCTGCCAGTCGGCGTATAATACCTTGCCTGGCAACTTATCTTTCATTTATAATCTTTCGTAAAATATTTGTAGAGTTATTTTTAGCTCGTAAACACTATTGAAGTCACAATTTTTAACAGATTTTTACGAAACTTGGTGTGAGTGTTTGTTGTAGGCCAAGTTTTGGCCTATATAAACACTCTAGAAAGCCCAGATTTTGACAAAACTTGGTAATATTATTCAGTATCACCCCAAAAAGTTCAAAAGAAGTGTATGTCTGAAGGTTGAATATTTTATACTAGTGATTGTTACTGAACTGCCAAATATTTTTATTCAAAATTAGAGCTGCAGTGGGCGTAGTTCGGCGTACATTACCTTGCCTGACAAGCTGTCTTACTGTTTGTGTTGGGATTGAGTAAAGACAAAGACGAATCTTTTCCGAAACGTTTCATTAATATAAATCACATCACATCTTCCCCCTTGAACGATATATTCTCCCTATTCCTATAGACTTACTCCACATTATAAATATTATTTTTTGTGTTGATCCAAAAATTGTGGTCCAAAACGTCGTAAGCAATATAGTGCAACTGATACTCACTGTAGAGCCTACAGTTCTTTGTGGAATGTCTTTATATTATTGCGTTTCAATATCACAATGAAACTGATCTCTATAAAATTTCGTAATTTTCCGTTGATATATATATATGTAGACTTAGTCGCCTTGCTGTAGGATATTTTGTTTTTTTGTCTAACTACTCTTGTGTATTTACTTTAATTGTCCCTTTGAACCCTAAGCATAATAAATTAATATTACGTTTAACCTGGCCTCCAAGCATAAAAATCAAGAAATTCCATATTTGGTTGTGTTTATTATTTCATTTTATCAATTTTAATTGAATAAAACTTACATCAAACGGTTTGTTGTGGTTTCTTGCATATTTTCTTCCAAAACGCTTAATACATCCATTAAGCGATTTTGAAATCAGGTGTAATTTTCAAGGCGAAGTAACTCTCAAGTGGGGTTTCCCGCGTCCTTGACCTCTACTCTTGAATTGACCTCGACATTGTCATATTTTGAAGACGCAATAATGATACCTCGTAGGAGATTAAGCGACTCCGCGAAAAAGCAACTCATATAAATTAGAATGAATACTCCACCATTGACACAATTTTCAACGAATATTAATCATTGGCAAAGTTTTTTGTATACACCGGAAGATGATTGTTTCCTGTTTTAGCGTTGATTGCCCAGACTCTTTTTTTCTCAAACTGAACGGATTCATGGCTTGCTCACTTTTTAAAAAATTATGATTATAGTTTTGTTGTCGATTTTTCAAACTTGATAAAGTGTGCTGCATACTTATTTAACCAATGGTCACTATTAAACACAAATATTAGCCACAGGGCGAGTGTATTCTAAGACGTAGTATCGCTTTAATAAAAATGCAATTAACTATTGAAAAACGCTAAATATTATGATAAAGCGCTTTTCAATAATGACTTAGTTTTATGAATATTCAAATTTTCTAGATTTTACAGGGATTCTGTTGTAACTTTATGACACCAGGTAAGTTCACTGATGAATATATACTCATATTGACCATTCTTGAGAATTAAATTTTATGTTCAGTAGGATAGCCTGTATTAGTAGTCTAGGCTATTTTCAGACTGTTGACTTTTGTCCTGTCCAACTCAAACAACACAATCAATTTTATTTTGAAGTTGAAGTTGAGTAGAAGTTTTATATCAAACAAATGAACCATGGACTGTTGGACATAGAGCACTTCGGTAAATTAATTCATGTTAGATCATAATATCATATAGAACTGATGAACAGGATATATAAAACATCTTTGTGGTCTGTAAGGAACGAGTTAGAGAATAGCTATGGTTAGAGCATAGAACTGTGGTTAGAGTTATCTTGACCGGAAAAGGTGGAGTCTTTGTTTTGCTCAATTATATTTTAGGTTGGGCTACCGGTGGATAAAATTACTAATTATTTGAAATTTCGCTGACAATATAATCATATTGATTATAGAATCAGATGCTGATGTATGTCGTTTATAATAACATCGTAGTATACTCAGACTCAAACAACATAATAAATTGAATAATTTAGTGTAGTCTTAGGCTAAGTGTCCGACTCGAATATACATTGGTGTAACCTATTTTCGTGCATATAAGGATTCAACACCGAATCCGAATATTTTTTTATGTCTTAGATGTTTCCTCAGGTATTCTACAAAAAAGTTAGATTGGTTTGTTTTCTTTATGAATCTCGCTTTGACCCATATTGCATGAGTGACCAACTCGACAACGGCGGCAAATTGCGTTCCCAATTTTCGTGTACAATGTTTGATCTATAAATAAGTCTAGAAAAACACATTGTATGGATACTAGGTGGTATAATTAACTTCTCTTAGTATTTATCTTTTTATGTATTCCTTATAACTAATGACAATTCCTTCAAAGATAAATGATTTGAAAAAAGAAATAGTGACTATCAAAATAAGATTTTAAGTAAAACTTAAGAGTAATTTATTGCTAAGATTCATTGAAACAACATAAGAATATAGCGTACATTGTGTTCCATAGAATTTTTCTGCAGAAATGGAATCTGCTAGTTTATCACGTTCACTGAAATATATTCTAGCAGACGACACTTTGAATTCTGATCACAGCCGTGGATTATAAGGAAATTTGGCTGATAAATAATTGTGACATTTGGTATTAAATGAAATCAGCCATTTTGTATATGCTAGAAATGAATAATAAGTTTGACATTGCATTGAAAAAATTCTGCAGGTTGACGTCGAGATAACCCATGTTTATCCAAACATAGCAAATATGGAATTTAGGTTATGTGACAGATCAAGTCTCTGATAGCTATTTTGAAAGTTGTTAGCTGGTGTAGACACATAAAAACTAGGCCCTCTTTTGTTGACTGAGATATCATAAGATTTCATTTTATTGAATAATTGTTGCTTCTATCATATTTTCAAACCAGCAATTTAATTTTATTTCTCAGTATCTTTTTTTCCTAGATTGAAACATGATGTAACATTAAACTATGGCAAGTGAAGATGATGATCTATGTTATGAAATATATTTTGATCAGTTAAAGGAGGTTTTTAATGGTTGTGATGATGATAATAAAGGCTATTTAACACAATCTCAGCTGAGAACTCTATGTGATAAACTAGAGTTAGAAGAGAAACATAATTTCTTATTGGCTCAGCTTGAAACTGAAAATTGCATTGATAAGGTGAAATATATTATTTTTAATTCCTTGGCCAGGCTATGGAACAAACTGGCAAAAAAGAATGCATCACTTTTTGAGAGAAACTTGGTATTAGCTTACTTATGATCTATGTAAGTGTGAGATCTTTTGAGTTTGAATTAATCTAATTGAAATGTGTGAATGAGATAATGTTTTTCAATGTGGTTAAGCTGAGAAATATAAAGTAGAGAAATCAACTGTTAGAAATATTTTACGCAAGAACCAGAATTATTTGTGACAATTTGAGAACAATGCTACTCTTACGAAGCAGAAAATTAATAGATCTTATACATTACACGATACAGTTTTCAAGTGAATGACGTGTAGTAAGAAAAGGGGAATATCTATATGTATGTTTGCAAAAGTGTGGCTATTAGGATATATCAGCCACTTCTATAAACTGAGCAAATCTTTTGGTTCTGCACATGGCAGATTTTTATATGCCCACATTATAATGCTGTCATATATTATCTTGTCTTGTCATGGTAGGTCTGTCTGTACGTCTGTTTGTTTATTGTAGACATGATAGAGAGCTGGTTTCTTGATGGATTTTGATGAAACTTGGTGTGAGTGTTCGTAATCACCCGTTCGTCTGTCTGTCCGTCCATAATTGTTGTGGACACAATAGAGAGCTGGTTTCTTGACGAAACTTGGTGAACTCTATTGAAAATCAGACAAATCGAAAAATATTTAATATGAGTTTTTACCCCTGTCCTTGAAAACTACGTTCAATTTATTGAAATCCTCTAGTTTATCATGTGACTTTGTTCACTGAAATATTTGCTAACAAGACGACACTTGGAATTCCGATTACAGCTTTGGATTATAAGCTTTGGTATTAAATGAAATCAGCCATTTTGTATACGTTAAAAATAAATGATAAATTTAACATTGCTTTCAAATGATAGGATAAATTCTGCAGGTTGACGTTGTAGAGATAACCCATGTTTATCAAAAAATGTAAATACAGAGGTTGCACATGTAAATTATTGATCATTTCTGAGATGCACAAAATTAGGTTATGTTTATCAAAACATAGCAAATACGGAAATTAGGTTATGTGACCGATCAAGTCTCTGATAGGTTTTTTGAAAGTTGTTGGCTGGTGTAGACACATCAAAACTAGGCCCTCTTTTGTTTGAATTTTCTGCACCTCCAAAGGTGCCAAACTCAGATATATTTGGAAAGACGCCTATTTTTTTCCATTCAACCATTCCATCAAAATGATAGAGAACTGGTTTGTTGGTGGATTTTGACAAAACTTGATGTGAGAATTTGTAATCTCCCATGGTTGAACCCTATTGAAAATCAGACAAATCGAAAAAATATTGAATATGAGTTATTGCCCTTGTTATTAAAAACGCGTTCAAAATAAATGGCTGGTTTCTTGAGGGATTTTAATCAAATTTGGTGTCAAAGATTTTTACCACATAAGGATGAACCCTATTGAAGGTCACACATGAGTTATGAGTTATTGCCCTTGTTCTTGAAAACAGGTTCAATTTATTGTGCACACGATAGAGAGCTGGTTTCTTGATGGATTTTGACAAAACTTGGTGTGAGAGTTTGCAATCTTCCATGGTTGAACCCTATAGAAGATCAACTTAATCCAAAAAATAATTGGCCCTTCAATTTTTAGTTGAAAGTGTGTAGAGAGCTGGTTACTTGATGGATTTTGATAAAATTTGGGGTCAATGCTTGTTATCTCCTAAGGATGAACCCTATTGAAAATAAGACAAATCGAAAAAATATTTGATATGAGTTCTTGCCCTAGTTCTTGAAAACTCATTCAAGGCATAATTCTGAACAAATTTTAAAGAAACTTTGTTGAATCACCCGAACCTTATTGAAAAGCAGAAAATAGAAAAATATTTCATATGAGTTATTGCCTTTGTTCTTATATATGTATATATGTGTTCAATCTTTAGCTCGTAAAACTGTAGAAAACCAAAATTCTGGACTTATTTAGACGAAACTTGTTGAAAATAAGTCATTGCAGTATGAAAATGTTACTCTCGCAATACTTCATTTAGTGGTAGTTCTTGTCAACCGCTCAGATGACTTGTCTGCCATTACAATGGTGGCTTGTTATTTTTACTGGTATGATTGATGGGTGTATGGGTATTAATTTGTCAAACAATCTACTTGTATCTTTTTATTTCTTAGATATATTTTGATAATTTTAAAGGAGCCTTTTTAAATTCACTCAAAGAAAACTCAAATGAAACAAATAACAGTCCATCAGGTATGTATAAGAGTGTTGTTTTTTTTTTAATTATTTATTGATCATTTACTCACTCATGATAAAAGATGTCATTGGTTGGATGGACTATTTGCATTTTTATTTTTAAATGAAGACATTTTAAGTTATGCTCTTCATCTAGCCTAAATAAATCTAACTTGGCTTGTGAATGTTCATTCATATCCTAAGTGTCTTTAATGAGATTGAATCTCACAAATTTATAATAATGCAAGGAGACATACAAAATTTACAGTTTTCAGTTTTCTTTAAAAGGCCATTACTTATTGTGTTGATAGGCAATATATGTTGAAATCAACAAACAATACATTTATTCTGCTATATGTTATGATATATACAATATAATTATATTGACAAGAATTGTGACAGTATTGTACAATTAAATGAAAATTTATTAGTTATTATGGGAAGACTTTGACATATTTCTACCTCCTTAAATTTGTTCTCTTTTGGATTACATTAAGGAAATGTTAGCTTTCTCTTGGTAATTCCTCATGATTTGATACAAATTATTCTTATATATATATATATATATAGGTATTAGTCCAAAATTTGTATTGGGTGGTAAAAAATATGGCAGACGTACTAGACCAGAATGTGAGAAGGATCATGATGTATTAGATGAATCTATATTGGAGAAGTCTAATAAACAGTGTTTAACTAACTCATTGTTGTTAAAACCATCGAACAGACATAATTTATCTTCTTCATCTATTATAGATCAGGTATGTACTTTACATCTTCATTCTAACTTAGTTATATATTCAGAACACAGAAAGAAAACATTTCTGTTAGAAAACCCATGATCTGTTGTGTATATCTCAACTAATTTTGCTCGTGTAGAGCGTTTCAGGGGCAAGTTGTTTCCTCTTGTTTACCAACAGAAACCTACCTGTCAATCTTATAGATAGTAACTTTTAACGTAAGTTTCAAAAGTCGTGTTTAAGACTGGTTATGAAGACATCCTTTCAGTGGTCAAACTTACTTTTATTTAGTGTTGAAAAGGTTAGTGAATTTTACAAAACGGGTAATTGTCTGCAATAACCGTTTGTTACCCGGTTAAATCCTGGTTAATTACTCAAGATTATAAAAGGGGTAAAAAACTGCATTTGCAGCGGTAACTCACCGGTAACTAAACTAGGGTATATGAATACCCAGGAAGATTTTGGCTAGTTCCCCGCGAATTATAGGTACAAATCGACAGATACCAAACAAACTGACAATGTAAGATTACAAGCAGGTCTGACAGAGTTCAGATGGACTCGCGCCATTGTCACTCATTGCTACAGTCTCTAACAAATCAAAGGTTTTTATACCAGTTGTGGGGTCAGTGTAATGAGTGTATCTTATTGAAGTCGCCGCGAATCAGTGTACTGGTTCCACAACTGGTATACAATGAATCCGTACTCATGAATATTAATAAGCTTGAAGCTGATTGACAGGCAAGAAGAAACAAACAGCCAATTAGAGTACCCGATTGAAATAATAAAAATAAAATTTATTAAAACACTAGAACATGCTTAAAAAACTCTGTGTTACATTTCCGTAATACCATTATAATAATAACAAGATTCAACGTAACGTGGTGCATGCCGAATGTCTAATAATGATTACAGCGCTACAATGCTTATTTCCTAATTTACACAACGGTGCACATGGCTACTGTCGACAAACTGACGCGATTATCTAGAACGAGTAATTAGTTGAACTTATATAAAAGAAAAGAGGCTTGATAATCTTGACCACAATTCTTGCAACTCATTAGTGTTTTGATAATTGATACCCTATTTTGATTTATTAATGTCAATTATTCAATCAATAAAGATGTTTATTTACTAAATAAGATTTTTGTAGGGAGGAACAACTATATTATTTGTTTGTGAAAACCCCTAATTTCAACGATCATTGCTATAACAACTAAAATGTTCCAGTGACAGGATAAGCAACATTCTCTCTCAGTTGTATTTAAGTGATTTTGATTTGTCTAGATGTTGAAAAGTAGGTCTTGTTACAGGGGATACTATAGTAAATATCCCTGGGATTTTATGTAATATTCCCAGGGAAAGAGATTACTGGGGGTAAATCCAGATTAGAAATATAGAATTAAAAAAGAATTCATTGACTTTTGTTTTGAACTTACTGTTTTATCAATACAATGTAATGGCAATGAAATTTTCAGTCCAAGGACTGATTTAAAATCAATCATTGTACAGACAATAATTTCCAAATATAACCTCAATAAATTAATATAAAATTCTAATTCCTTCTTATTCCTCACTTGTCTAATTTGGACAATTATTTGTGGTACCCAATAGTAACCATATTTGTAGCTTGTTTATTTTCTTTAAAATATATAATTTCTGTATAATTGTGGTAATAAAGGAATATAGTGGTGATAAAGGAATATAGTGGTGATAAATGGTTTTGGGTAAAAGCCCATTGATATATCAATTTATTATTAATCTTTTCTGGGAAAAATTCAATCCTGTAACTGTAGACAAAAATCTAACAAGCTAAAGTCAGAAAAATAGTTTTTCTTCTGTTTTGAGAAAAATAGTGTGAAATAGAGTTTTAATCTACAGTGGATAATTCATCTAGAAAATTGTTAATATTTTTCTCATACAATGTGATGTAATTGAATTATCTCTGTCAATTGGTATAATAATATTGTCTGTGACTTCTCATCTTTATAATTATTTTATTTTAACTTCATTATATTTTCTACTAATACATCGACTATTGATTTGAGAGGACTACTGTGTCCTTTGAGAGGTTCAAGTTAATAGAATAAGAAATGATGATATAGCTGTCTTATTTCTAAACTTTAAGGTTAGTTTAATACATGGGCTCATGCTTTTTCCTCATTTTAATCATATTTTACTCCCAATTTTTATGAAAGCTGTGTCTTTCACATTACCTGATAAGAAGATATTACTTTAAAGTCTGGTTTTTAACACCTACATTTAACTTGGGAATATACAACATCTTTGTTCCAGCTTATCTTCGAAGTATTGTTTTTATACATGACCATGTTACAGATGCATTATACTACAGATCAGTACTAAGTTAGCAGGACCAATCCTTATACTACAGATCAGTACTAAGCTAGCAGGATCCAATAATTATATGTACAGATCAGTACTAAGTTAGCAGGATCCAATCATTATATGCCACATCAGTATTAAGTTAGCAGGATCCAATCCTCACAATACTGCTTTCTACTAAATCAACATAACATAAGTAATTTTGTTGCTTAAGTTACAGTTACACCATAAAGTCTTTAGGGTTTTCGGAGTTGAGATTTGAAATAGAATTAGCAAAATTGTCAGGAGATCTCTCACTAGCCCTAAGTTTCTGGTATTTATCAATGTTATACAATAAAGTTAGATTACCTCCTCCTAATCAATATTAAAGTCTGTTGTTATACTTGTTGATCTTACATGTTTGATTACAAAGTTGTATTATTTTCTACCAGTATATCGTAGTCTCATATACTCAGCTTCTTAAAAGAAAAGCTATATTCAAGTACTTATATTGGTAAGTCATATATGTTTGTAGTATTTATGCAACAGGTTTTAATCAAAAGGAGAGGGACTCATGAACATTTTTATTCTGTTGACTTTCAAAAAAGGTAGCTGTTACCTTTATTGGGACTGGTGTGCCATTTTATGATGTTGGTTTTAGTCTTTCTATAAATATTTTTTTCACAGAGTATCTTAAAATGTCATCATTTTAATATTCAAGGGCATATAATTCTAGAGCACATAGATTTAAAGGCTCGAACTTTGATGGTGAGCTGTGACCACTATTACTAATTGGCTTAGCTAAAAAAAAATCATGTTTCTAAGACTAAAGTATAATTGTGAAAAAAAATGGCGCGTTTATCCCTTTAAAACTACTTGAAGTCAAGAATAAACTTGTTACTTTTTGACAAATTTTTGATACGTAGGATTCCATTCAATATTTTATATACTTGCATGTTGAAGCAACTTCCAAATATTTTGATGTTTAATATGAACAAGATACACTCTCCATACTGTGTCTATAAATCTATTAATTTCCACCTCAATTCTTTTGTTAATTCATTAATTTCTTGAAATCTTTTTAACTTTTATAATTAACTTGATAGATTTTATTATTATATAAATGTAAACCATTTTGTATATAAAAACAGTAGAATTAAAGTCTCTGGATCAACTATATTGTATTATTATTATATTGTATATCATGTAGAAATAAATAATGTTAAAAACATATTATACAAAGCTAAAATTCAACAAAATCAGGATATAGTGTTACATGGTTTTATTATTCTTAATTAGTGTATTAAATAATGATCAGTTATGGGGAAAAATTAAAAAAATTACTAGGCATTAAAATTAATTATTTATTCAACAAGTATTATTAGAAAGTGTTAGCTAGTAGAGTGTACACTAGTAATTATTTAAGTTCCAAGGTTCACTTTCAATATTTATGTTTTTGGTTCTAATATTTTTCAGAAACTGGTCATTAAAAGTAATAGGTGGATTAGTGCATGAAATCATTTTGTGTTAAACAAAATTTGCATGTGGAAAAGGTTTTTTTAATAATTTTATTTTAAATGTGTTTCTGTGATATTCTGATTTAATTCATAAAAAGATCAGGAAGTGTCTGAAATTTTGAAAGTGAAAAGAAAGAAGAATTTAGAAATCCAATACAATGAGAATAAGGTTAAGGTACAGGAAAGTGACTTTAATTGGTGCGTTAATGCTGATAATACTTAGTGGATATTGTTTGATTGGAATTTTTCATCAGTTGATATTAGATCCAGATATAAAACAAGTAGATATTCTGCCCGTGTGTCACCAACAAAATCATCAACAGAAGATATGTTTTCCTCAAAATAATATCGTGTTTATAAAGTGTATGAAATGTGGAACAGAAACTCTTGCTTCTATCTTGCGAAGGTATGGATATGAACGAAATCTTTCCTTTGTTTTACCAATAAACAAAAGGATATATATTGGATGGCCATATCAAATAAGTAAATTTGATTACCGTCCTGTTATTAAAGACTTTAATATGTTGGTGGAACATGCTATTTATAATAAAACAACATTACAAAAGATCATGCCATTTAACACCAAATATATATCAATAATTCGTGAACCATTCAGTCGCTTTGTATCTTCATTTTATTATTTTAATATTCAAAAAGTTACTAATATAACATCAACCAATCCCATTTCTGAATATTTAAATAATATAGATAAGTATGAGATCAAATATAAAAGCAATAATGCAAAATTTCGTTACTGTATTCCAAATGATTTTTCTGTGACTAAAAATCTCTTGGCACAATGTTTAGGATTTCCAATGGGATTTCCAAAAAGACAAGTTGATTTGAGTCTGGATCATAAGGCTGTAGATAAATTTATTGATCAAATTGACAGTGATTTTGAGTTAGTTTTAATAATGGACTATTACGATGAATCTCTGGTACTATTAAAACGTTTATTATGTTGGAAGTTACAAGATATAGTATATTTGAGAACTAACAATGGCAAGTATGGGGGTAGTAAAAGAATCGAATTCCATCGGACGCCAACTAATTTACACTTACATCAAAATCATGATTTTATTGATTATAAAATATTTCATCATTTTAATCAAACATTATGGAAAAAAATAAATCAACAATCAATTGATTTTTTCGAGGAAGTGAAAACATTTCAGAAAATTAATTCCAATATTTCAATATTTTGTAAAAGAAATATAAGCTCAACTGTGATCAAGAAAACTAAATTTTCAGATGTTTTTGTGATAACAAGATCTGATTGTGATAATTTAAAAGAACATATTTTAAAAAAACTGACTAAACTGTATGATATTCAGAGAAATTCCACAAAAATTATGCCTTCAGGTAGAATTAGGGCCTTGTGCTGAAACAATTTTTACATCGACTGTGACCCTCATGAAATGTGGATCATATATTGTCACCCAGTCCATCCAATCCAATTGGTCATTAATATGATTTGTTGCCCTTGTTCTTCGAAATGCATTCAATTTTTAGCTTGTAAACATCTCAGAAGGCTCATTGTTAGAAAATAAAAAATACAAGGCACAATTCATAGAGGGATATTGAGGAAGTTATCAAAAAATGAACCTCCAATCAAAAGAAATCTTATTTTAATTTGTAAACTCTCTTAAGACACAGTGCCGATTTGGCTGCCAATGTGTCTACCTTGCATGTCAAGCTATTTGTATTTAGGGTAGCTTATTTTGTTATTAGAGTAAGACTTAAAACACCATTCCTTTCATATTTATACCCCTACATGGAAATATGTATGTATTAGTACCAATTTCTCAGAGAATTGTAAGAACATTACCATGGTACATACCAGTACATATTTAGTCCATGTTAGTTAATTTATTGATATATTATGTCACAAAACTTATATAATTAGTAAAATAATAAGATTTATTATGTTTTATTTATATTTTATTTTGTATTACAAATTTTTACCTTATGTTTTTGTATTTGATAAGTGCATCATAAATGTTTATTTTTATTCTTCAAAAAGTTTTATTTTAAGGTTTTATTGATGTCTAGTTGTTTGTATCTATTTATACTTTTGATATCATAAAAAGAAATGTACTCTACTTAAAAAATAATCAAAAAGTAACGAATATTCTCCACAGTTGCCAACTTTTTTAAACTTTAAAAGTAATGGTTTGCCATTAGATTGAGTTGTTATTCTTACCATATTTTGTGCAGTTTATATTTGGAAATAAAATTTTCTAATATGTTGTTTTATATATTCAAACATTTCCTAATCATTGTATGGAATATGAAAATAAATTAGAAATTTTCAAATAATTGGATTGATTGCTCATATTCCTTCCAGAATGTCACACTTGACTTCGGTCATTTTATCAGATTTCTCTGGCCCAAGTGATAGCACTTTAGTTAAAGGAAGGGTTAAAAATATATTTTTTTTATGAAGATCTGACTGGCTTGTTGGCCAATGAAGATTACTCTAGCACTAACAGCCCTTATTGGCTATGGAAAGTGTGTTTTAGATAATACTGCAAGAAACAGTGTTCAAAATGTTTTGATTTTGTTTTTTTATGATTTGAATAGTTGTGATATGTATTGCTCTACAGTGTTAACTCATAGCTCTTGATATTTTAACTATGTAATATTTATATCACAGTGGTAGTGGAGAATTGGTAATCAGGCTAATGTTGACAATTTTTTAAATATGACTATGTCTAAGAGAGTCACAATCAAATGAAGAAAAAGAAACCAAGGATCACATCACATTACATATATTAGAAAAAAAAAAAAATAACATAAAACAAAATATTTTTGAAGACAGGATTTTGTCATCTGTTCATGATTTTTTTTAAAGCTGGCTCATACTCCCTTTTTATACGCCCACATCTCTCTATGTCAACATTTGCTTGTAAACGCTCTAAAATTTGATGGAATCAAATGAAATTCGGTATGTGTATATATATTCATACAACGAAGATCAAGTTGGAATTTGAGCTATTTTCGACCGTTTAAAGCAGAGTTATTGCCCTTTCCCCAAAATCTTGAATATGCTATTACTCTCTTAGTTTCCAACCGATTTTGATGAAACTTAAAATGGATGTTATTGGACCTAAATCGAAAGGTTTGAGAAAGTTTAGTTTACTTCTGATTAAATTTAAGGCTTTTTCAAGATTTAGGCCTCTTACGTCAGTTTTAAGGAGTTATCGCCCTTTAACCTCTATACAGTAAGTGCTTCTATCAACATCAATTGCTCGTAAACACTCTAAAAACTAGAGTGTTTGAAGGAATCAAATGAAATTCGGTATGTGCATACATATTCATGAAATGGAGGTCTGTCAGTCTGTCCGTCCATCAACATTTGCTTGTAAACGCTCTAAACGATTTTTTGATGGAATCAAATGAAATTCGGTATGTGTAGACATATTCATAAAACGAAGATCAAGTTCGAATTTAAGCTGTTTTTGACAGTAAGAAGCAGAGTTATTGCCCTTGCCCCAAAATCTTTAATATTTACCATTTGCATGCTGCGGTGGGCTGTAATCCACTATCTTGATTAATGAAAACACAGAATGGTTAGATTCTACAAGTTTTAATATCAGGTTTTGTATGGTACATTCTTTCATGAACATCATATATATCTTTTAACTTCTTAAGAATATCAGAAAAATAGAACAGACAATTATCTTTAGTTATATTCATCAGTGGATTCCATATTGTTTTATTGAATACTATATACTCAGGTAGTTCATCTTTTCTTTTACCATATATTTTATTGGTGCAATAAGCTTCACCTTCTTTTTGAAATTGATTAAATGTTGCAACTTCGTCAAAAAAATCTGCTGACTGTTGTTGTATATTGGTCCATAAAGTTTTATTGAAATGATTATATAACAAATAGTCTATTTCATTCCATTTTTCAAAAAACTCAGTATTTTTGGTATTCACTTTTGAATGTTTATAAGAATAATATCCCACATTTCTGCTCACGTAAAATAGATCTTTAAAACTCCAACACATTAATCTCTTCAATAAAATAAGACTCTCGTGAAAATATTCCACTATCATTATCAAATGAAAATTTTCACCCAAACCTCTAATGTAATCCTTTACAGCCTCTAAGTTTTCAGTAATGTCTTTTCGTCCTAGTGGAAATCCTAAAGGCATTCCCAAACTATGAGCCATTTCGTTGTGCATTTGAGAAAATTTGACAGGTGGGCAGAATCTTCGCCATGTTTTAACCAGTCCTGTACAAAAATATTGAGGAATATTTTGTACATTGTTAAGATATTCATTGACAGGATCAGTTTTGTTTGTTAGATTACACTGTTTTGGGGTGTTGAAATAATTAAAACTGGATTTTAATCGTGATAGAGGGTGACGTATAGATGAGATATAAATGGTATCACGAGGCATCAGTTGTTGTAACATACTCTGATTATATATAGAATGTTCTATCAATATATTGTATGGTTTACGTGATGGTCTGTAATCGTATTTGTTGAAAGGAAAGGGCCAACCAATCCAAATTCGATCTTCAACGGGCAGAACATAAGTCAAGTTCCTATCATATCCAAACTTTCTGAACATTGGTCCTAAACTTTCTGTTGCACATTTCATCACTTTGATAAACACAAAATTTTTCTGTTCTTTGGTACAAGTTGGTGTTGAAATTACATCTTCTGTATATACATATTTCTTTATGTTACTATCAGATACAACCTGAAGGCCTTCAATAATAAATTTAACAGGAACATACAATGTAATTACCAAGAGAAAAGTCACTGTACACTTTCTATATCTCATATTGAAGTGGGTGAAAGCAGCTTTGTTAAGAAAACATAGTATTGATGTTTAACATCAGTGACAACATATGTAAAATATGATTTTCTCAATAGTATAATTTGATTTTAATGTGAGAACATTCTGTTGATTTATGTAGAATGTGACACCAGTATTTATTGAATATTGATATCTATTAAAACAAGCTTACACAACTTCCAAGATAAATAGACATGCACAAAATTGTACTGAATTTTGATATTAAAGCCATAGACAGCTCTGTTATATGGAGATGCACACAATTGTGAAAACAATTTAAATAAATAGTATAAAGCCATAAGTCAACTACTCTGTTTCATGAACAAGCACAAAATTATGACAAATATTGATATAAAGCCCTCTTATGAAACAGTGACACAGATGAAAGCTGTATTATCAGTTAAAACGTAGTTATATAAAGGCTAGCGCACACAAGAGCTCCCAGCTGAGCAAAATTTCATTTGTGTCTCCCAGCTCAGCTCATCTCATCTTGTAGCTCTCGTGTGTGCAGAGTTTACGTAAGGTTTTTTTTCATTCGAGGCATTAAAGAAATTATCTGTTGTGTTTGATAATTTTTTCCTCGAATGAAAAATACCTTACCGTGTGCGCACTCGAAAGCTCTTAGCTTTCAACTTTGAACTGCGATGCATGCTCTAGCATGTGATCAAACAAAAATGGCTGTGCCCATCGGTGAATGCTAGTTTGTATCTGAAGCAATTATAAAAGACAAGTTGGTGGACGTATGGCCGGAATATCAGTGTCTGTATGACGTACGGATCCGCCAATTTAAACAACAACAAAAGAAGACGTGATCTAGTTATTTTTAGACATCTATGACTCAACACCCCGTTAACGAAAGCTCTAAGCTTAGCGTGTACGGGGGAAACCGACGAAAGCAGCGAGCTGAGCTGGGAGACACAAATGAAATTTTGCTCAGCTGGGAGCTCTTGTGTGTGCTGGCCTTTATTCTGAATATTTTGCTTCGCAGTTGATGAAGCTCAATTTTGAACATCTCATACATATACATGTTTTTGGAAGTCAGTAGACTATATTGATATATCAATCATAAAGATATCAGAAACTTTCTGAATTGTTCAGTATTCCTATTACCTTATCTTAACAACTTCAAATGGAATTTTTGGCATATTCGTAATGGCTGATAGACTGGTGCATCTAGTACATCCTCCTCTGCCTATCTTCAAACTGAAAAGCTACAATAACTAGCAATTTCCAAGGTTTCATCAGTGCCAAATACTGGCACAGCTTTCACCACAATCATTGTTCATCACGGGCTCTTTGATGGAAACTGAAACCGAATACATCTCTTAACTCTCTGGGTATCTCCACTCTGCTTCCTGTCAGAAAACATCTTTCTTAGCAATTTTTGCGATAGTTTATGGAAATGAAAAATGAAACATAGGCTATGCTCTATCCAAAATATTAACTTGAATTAGCATAATATTGATAATAGACAATTTGTCGTCAGTTAAAGAATTTGTTGAATAGGTTGTTGGTAATAAAGGGACATAACTACATGTCAGATCGATATCATATTTAAAGTAATTGTGAATATGAAGGGAATATATCTATCCTGCTAACAATAGACATATTGATTAGTCAACAGGTGGATAATTGTATTCATTTTACCTGATAATCATGTCTAATAAACACCTTAGTAAGAGACTGAGTAATCAAGTCTACAGTTATTGGGTTGACAAATGAATTAAAATGATTCATGGTTCATTATATTGTGAAATATTCATAAATGTATAGTAATTACCTGGAGGATACAGTAAGTGATGACTAGTATATTATGTTGGTTTAGTCAGTGATGGCCAATCAGTATTTTGGATATTATGATAATAATTATTTATTAGAGAGCTATAGACAGGTTTTTATGTTCTTACTCCATTATTCTAAACTTAAAGGATTTGGTAACCTTTGTCACATTTAATGATAATTACATATTGTTTTAGAACGAAGTAACATCATCATATGATACAAAACTTTTTATATGGGTTCCTGTGTTTCATGTTATTGTTAAACCAGCCATGTTTAGTTGATCTAAATTTTGATAAATTGAAAGTAGACATGAACCTCATAAGATGATTTAATAATATACAATATGTATTCAAATTCAATTCTTAGATACATATGAAGTAAATTATTGACCAACAGTCACTAAAACTCTGTGTTCAGTTTGCGATAAGGCTGCTATATAACAGGGCATTCAAAACATAACAAAAACAATCCACTATAGAGTTTGTTCTTATCAGTAATGAAATCTGACTGATACTGCTTATGATAGTTATATGTCATTTCGATTCATTCAGATCAGAAACAGGATTGTTCAATGACATTCTGATATTTGAAAATAATCCCAGGTAATAAACTTACTTATTAACATTGCATTGCTTGTAAGAGCAATGACTTTTGTCTTATATCCTACACAGAAATTAACTCAAGACCAAAGCTTTGGTTCTGTATGTAATAGATGTTGTAGAAGCTGTGAGATTGAAGGTTATGCTTCATCTGTAATAGATTTTGTAGAAGCTGTGAGATTGAAAGTTATGCTTCATCTGTAATAGATGTTGTAGAAGCTGTGAGATTGAAAGTTACGCTTCATCTGTAATAGATGTTGTAGAAGCCGTGAGATTGAAAGTTATGCTTCATCTGTAATAGATGTTGTAGAAGCTGTTAGATTGAAAGTTATGCTTCATCTGTAATAGAAGTTGTAGAAGCTGTGAGATTGAAGGTTATGCTTCATCTGTAATAGATGTTATAGAAGCTATGAGATTGAAGTAATGCTTCATCTGTAATAGAAGTTGTAGAAGCTGTGAGATTGAAGGTTATGCTTCATCTGTAATAGATGTTGTAGAAGCTGTTAGATTGAAAGTTATGCTTCATCTGTAATAGAAGTTGTAGAAGCTGTGAGATTGAAAGTTATGCTTCATCTGTAATAGATGTTGTAGAAGCTGTGAGATTGAAAGTTATGCTTCATCTGTAATAGAAGTTGTAGAAGCTGTGAGATTGAAAGTTATGCTTCATCTGTAATAGATGTTGTAGAAGCTGTTAGATTGAAAGTTATGCTTCATCTGTAATAGATGTTATAGAAGCTATGAGATTGAAGTAATGCTTCATTTGTAATAGAAGTTGTAGAAGCTGTGAGATTGAAGGCTATGCTTCATCTGTAATAGATGTTGTAGAAGCTGTGAGATTGAAGGTTATGCTTCATCTGTAATAGATGTTGTAAAAGCTATGAGATTGAAGGTTATGCTTCATCTGTAATAGATGTTGTATAGAAGCTGTGAGATTGAAGGTTATGCTTCATCTGTAATAGAAGTTGTAGAAGCTATGAGATTGAAGTAATGCTTCATCTGTAATAGAAGTTGTAGAAGCTATGAGATTGAAGTAATGCTTCATCTGTAATAGATTTTGTAGAAGCTGTGAGATTGAAAGTTATGCTTCATCTGTAATAGAAGTTGTAGAAGCTATGAGATTGAAGTAATGCTTCATCTGTAATAGAAGTTGTAGAAGCTATGAGATTGAAGTAATGCTTCATCTGTAATAGAAGTTGTAGAAGCTGTGAGATTGAAGGTTATGCTTCATCTGTAATAGATGTTGTATAGAAGCTGTGAGATTGAAAGTTATGCTTCATCTGTAATAGATGTTGTAGAAGCTGTGAGATTGAAGGTTATGCTTCATCTGTAATAGATGTTGTATAGAAGCTGTGAGATTGAAAGTTATGCTTCATCTGTAATAGATGTTGTAGAAGCTGTGAGATTGAAAGTTATGCTTCATCTGTAATAGAAGTTGTAAAAGCTATGAGATTGAAGTAATGCTTCATCTGTAATAGATGCTGTAGAAGCTATGAGATTGAAGTAATGCTTCATCTGTAATAGATGTTGTAGAAGCTGTGAGATTGAAGGTTATGCTTCATCTGTAATAGATGTTGCAAAAGCTATGAGATTGAATGTTGAGTTTTATTTTCAGAGAGAAGATGATGCAGGGTGTAATGATAGAAGTCCTCACTATAGTGATCAGTCTATTAGATGGGAAAGAGACCATGCTGATGAGACTTTTGAGTCAGAAGGTAAGATTTTTAGTATAAATTTATGATCCCTTCCATCTTCACAATGTCAAGGTATTACGAACTTCATACTTATACCGTGACTGCAATAGTCGCCTTTCTTGTATCATGGAAGTTTGTGAATAAAGTGATTTGATTTGATTGTACACTTTAATGAATACAGCCAATAAGAGTCCTCGAAGAAAGTCTGTAAACGATAAGGCATTATGTTCACAGCCTTACTGTCAAGGGCTCTGATTGGCTATATTCGCTGGTGTACAATCCAATCAAATCGCTGCATTCTGTGATACTAGAATAGTGGCTATTGCAGTCAAGGTATAAGTTCATAATAGCTTGACATTGTGAAGATGGATTCTTCAAGAGAATAAGAAAACCAGTAAATATCCATCCACTCGCAATCCAGTTATAATTTTACATATTCTGGTCAGGCATCCTCACACATACATAGAGGACCTTGAATATTGATGAAATCAGATTCTGAAATTAGTATTTCTCGCACTAAATAACAGTATGTCTTGAGCTCGAGTGAAAAATTCTATTTATCACACAAAAAGCTAGCTTTATAGGAAATGATTGCTTTGAGCACACAAATTATAAATCTCAAAGTAGATCTAGAATTTTCACCCAAAATATATCTTTATGATTAAAGTGCAGCATAGATGTCTTGTATATTTTTGAGACAAATTAAGATGAAAAAAGCCTTAAAAAACTTAACCATTTT